GAGTGGCTCTGTACGTTTGAAACAGGTAATTGAAATAAAAATGAAATTTCTTAAAAAATTTACTTTACAAAAGAAGTTTAGCATTTTTGTTCAGGGGTATGTTTATTAAAAGCCCTTCAGACAAATACCAAGAACCAAACATTGCAGGATAAATCATATTGGGGACAGATGAGAAATGTGTAAGGATTAAAACCAATTTGCCACTTTTCCAAGCACCAAGGATGAATCCTGGCCTGACTGAACTTGCAAGTAACAGGCCCCTGGATTTCAATGAGATAATAATTTGATCCATGCGATTGCTTCTGTCTCTTTCTTTGATATTGCTGTAATTGCCACTATTTCTTTAATCCAAAACAACTGAGATAGAAAGGAAAAACCACATGTTTTTATAAGAAAAGGGCAACACATAACATTAAAAAAATGTTTCATCAAAGGTGCAACCATTTAAAATGCAAAACAGATACTACAGAGGTGACAAATTCAAGTTCTTAGTGTTTTTATTTAAGATCTTTCAAGTATTCATTTGCCAGGAATATTTGTTTAATTTTTTTAATGTATTCAGTTAGCCATATTCAGTTCTCTTTTATGTCCACTTCTCATGAATCACTTGACAGATGGACTTCTACAAGCACATCCCTTTGGGGAAAGTAAATTTGAAGTCGTAATAAGAACATAAGACATGCCATAGTGGATCAGAGCAAAGGTCTATCTAGTCCATACCCCGAACCTGTCAGTAGCCAAGAGCAATATATTAGATTTTAACAGTAATAACTTTGATCTTTCAGTGAGTATTAAGTTGGCGATGACTAAGCAGAAAATGAAAGGAAATCCCAAGAGCAGAGCATTCCAAAAGTCAGGCGAAACAGCAAGTGAGGCCACGTCTCCCTGTGCCTGAAGGGTCTGTGTCTCACAAGGAACAGGCACCAGGCTGAGCAGGCCCAGCTCAGGGTACTCTGGGGAATTATGGCCAGTTGTTCTGCTGCAAAATGGAATGTGTCAATAAACTCCAGCAACACGGAGGGGAAGGAAACGGCTGGAGAAGGGAAGAATGCAGGGTGGACACTGGGAGGTCAGGGCTGGGGGCAGCTTCATGCTGACAGGGGTAAGTAGTTCTACCAAAAGGGATGGTTTGGGATTAGGAACTTGGGCTTGCACATGGTACATTGGCAGTGCCTGAACCCTGTTCTCTCATTTCCAGAGTCAGAGCTCCATTTGTTCCAGTGAGATTGTAGTTAAAAGTTCTCAGGATTTAGCTCGTCTTTAATTGCTGCTGTCTCAATTAAATTATATCTGTGATAACAACAGCCCTCCTGGAGCCCCAAAAGGAACTTGAACACACTGTGAGTAAATTAAATAATTGTGTAAATTATAAAGTTTTTATCTACTGGTTATTGTATTAAAAACTACATATAGAGCACATACTTTTTTACCCTTCCTACTTTAGAGAATCTTATAAAAAAGGTGTTTAGCCTGCCAAAAATCTACAAGGATCACTGATAATTTGTTGATCAGCATTAGGTTCATTAAATCTATGCACTTCATTATCTGATTAATTCAGAGGCAGGTTTGTAATCAGAGATGAAATGTTTAAGATTCTACAGCTTTGGCCTCCACAACCTCCTGCAGCTCATTAGAAAAGCTAATCAGATTGAATTTTCCACCATGCTGTTTATTGTAGCCCTAATGGAAGACAATCACTTTAAAATTACACACTTAGCAGGTAATTTCTAAAAGCCATAAGCTACGGAAGCTCTGTTCTCCCCGGGCTCTTTGTCTTTCCTTATTAGGGTAAGGTAAGCAATGGAGAATTCTGTTAGAATTTGGAGAGGTATTTTGCAATATTGAATGCAATATAAAAGCTGCTGAACAAATATTTTTGTCCTTACCATGTTTCTTGACACCTGGGAGCCCTTTTGGAGATAGTTAGTAATGTGTGATGAGTTTGATTTAAAACTCAGAGGCATTTCCTATGTTGTGATTTTATTCTTTGAAGAATTAAGAACTTCCTTCATGTCCTTTTATCTTGAGATGAATAGCATTATTAAAAAAACAGAACAACTTTTTGATCTTGGGGTTTCACAGATCAGTTATAAACACTGTTGTGCTTGAGCTTTCTGAACTAAGTCACTAGTGTGATCTGAAGGAAAATTATGACAACGTTTAGTATGAAGAACCAGAAATTAAGGTGACTTAAAGTATAGAGTATTCTTAATTTTTTAATAATAGAATTTCTGTGAATTACGAGAAGTGACAACAGAAGTGATGGTCCCCTCTTGCACCAGCAGTGTTCCTGCCACTGCTCTGTTTTTCTGAAGGGTAACTGAATTGGGGAATGCAGCAGGGACAGCCAACACCTGAGTGAGAAAAACTGTCATTCCACCTGTTGTGGAAAAGATCCTTTTAGTAAAGCAGGTGTGAAGAACCATGGACTGAGAGCCAGATCCAAGGTGACAGAACAATTCCTCTGGCCTACTCTACTGCTTTTTCCATCATATGGACAGAAGTCCATTTGTGCTTTGACTGTCATCTGCGTTAGTCTCTTATTTTAATACGTGAAAGGATGGGCTTTCCTGTGACTTATTGTAAGAAGATCCCAATGTAAACCTTCCCTGCCAAACCACGTTCATCACATCTCTACCTACTGGCAATAAAGGGTAAAGGCATATCCACAGAACATCATGAAGATGGTGCATACCTAGTACAAATGAATCCTTTTGCCACCCAACATGCTCTAAATTTGCCAGGGCTGGATCCTACTTTTGGGATCTGTCTTCTTGTCACGGGCCTGACTCTACAAATAAACAGCGGTTTGCTAATGCCAGCTCTGATTCCTCCTTCTGCATGGCTGTGACAGCGTGAACAGTGAGCACCAGTGGTGTTTGGGTCACAGGAATGAAATGTGCTGTGCAGCAAAGGTCAGGGGTGAAGTCATAGCAAAGTATATCCCCTTCAGGGGATGACACCCCTGCCTTTTGTTGCCTTCTGCAGACTGGGGTTCTCAAAGGGCTGAATTCCCCCGGTGCTCAGCAGTCATAGCCCATACAGTAGGGAAGTTTAGTTTTGAGGGCACACTTATAGACAAATCCTCAGCTTAGGAGTCTGGGTGATTTTTCTCTGATTTTGTGCAGGAAGTGTTATTTATTTTTACTTTTTCCCCGGTGTCGCGCTGAAATCCAAGCGCCTGTCCCACGCCCCCCAGGATTGCCGGACAACAACATGGCGGCCGCCATGGTCCGGTCAACGTGGCGGCCCCCCCACGCATGCACCGTACAACAAAATGGCGGCCTCCAGGGCTCACTCCCGCCTCCGCAAAGGCCGTCTGAGGCCCTCCCCCCCCCCTTGTGGCCGAGTGGTTGAACTTCTCGCCTAGGGAGCAACACGTGCTCTGAACACACAGATTCGAATCCCATCCTCGACCAGCAAAAGCTTAAATTTTACTTTTTATTTTATAAAAACTGGGAACCAGCACCCCCGCCGTACAGGAGCGGCGCAGCACAGCAGCCCCCGCCGCCTCCCCATTGGCTGCTATGAAGTTCACACCGCTCTCCCACTGGTCAAGGCGTGGCTCGCACCGCCTCCCTCAGCGTTCCATTGGCTAGTGTCTCTGTCAATCCCGCCAGGTCCCCAACGGGTGACCAGCCTAAAGCCTGAGCAGGATAAAAGACAATAAAGCTAAAATAAAAAATAAAATAAAAAATAAAATAAAAAACAAACAAAAAAATTAAAAAACACAGAAAAGAGGAAAGAAAAATAAAATAAAAATAAGAAATAAAAACAAAAAAAAATTTAAAAAACATAGAAAAGAAAAGAGGAAAGAAAAATAAAATAAAAATAAGAAATAAAATGAAAAAATAAATTAAAAATATTAAAATAGACCATAAAATCAAAAGGAAAAAATCAAAAGTAAAATAAATAAGCCCTCGGCCACTGGGTGAGTTGGGGGGCACGGCTTTAGTGCCGCTACCGGCCGTGTCCACCAGGCGGCGCCTGCAGGGCAGAGCACGGTGGTCGGGGGTGGGATTCGAACCCACGTACACAGGGAAAATTTTAACGTCCTCGGAAAGATCAGAGTACCACACAGAAAACAAAAAGGATTTTCATTTAAAAAGTAATTTTATTTTATATTTTTATACAGAGTTCCTAGCAAAACTCTCCCATTACTGAAGGGGAAAAAATACAGATCAGGCAAGCTTATTCATCAGTCTTGAAACACGCCCTTCACAGTGTGGGTGCCCCTGTCCTTGGAACTCCACTGTGGTCCGGGAATTTCATCTTTGCACCGGCCGCTCCCTGCTCCGCCGCGCCCGCTCACTGCGCATGCGCGGGGCTCTTCCTTGTGGTGCCGCCTTTTCACCAGCAGGGGGCACAGGAGAGTCAGTGGAGCCACTGCGCACGTGCCACCTGGTTGCCAGGACGCCCACACTTATCACGTGACGCCGGGCGCCAGTAACGTCGGTGCGCATGCGCCGCTCTCGGCCCGCGGGTGTCACCGCATTCGGCCGCGGTGGGAGTTCCTTAAACTCTGAGATTCTGTGTTTCATATAGCACATTTAGGGTAGCATTTCGAAATAAATACATATGCGAGTTAATATTAGTTTTCAATATATATAAAGATGAGAAACCTCGCAGGTTTTAATATTGTTTTGCACGCCCTTCCATGGAAAATTTTGGGCTGTAACCTTCCTTTTTTGGGAGTCTTGCCTTAAAGGATCGGCCGGGAGCCAAAAATAGACTCAGCAGGCAATTATTAGTAGAGATAAGGTAGAGAGCAGGTTTAATAAGATCCCTTCAGCCCCCCCGGGGATACAGACGTGTGTGCCCGTGTCCAAGGGCGTTCCACAGTTTAAGGTATTTGTCCGTCCAATCCCAGATCTATCCGCCCCCCAGATCCTCCCAGTTCTGCCCCTGGTTCTGCCCCCGGCACGCCCCTCTGGAAGTTGAGTTAGGGGTCTCTAAGACTCCTTCATTTTGGTCTTCATCACAACAAGTCCAGTCCTTGGAGCTCCTCCGAAGTTCTGGGTTGTGAGGGATGCTTTGTCTGTTGGTGTATCTTGTTGTTGAGGCTTGGGTGCAAACGTTCTTAAACAGAAAGAAGGCCTACCTAAACAAGGTAAGGAATTTAGAAAGTTAGATATGAAATGGGGTAAGAGGGGTGGGTAAATGTGTAAACTACTGTGCTAAAGCGTGAGCTAACTACAGCTACTTCTAAAATCTGCAAAAAGATAAAAATCGAGAAAATTCGTAGGCATCAGGAGGACCCCACATGACCCCGTTCATCCCCCAGGAGCTCACCTGCTCCTGCACCGCATCTCGGCTCTCCCAGTGACATCGGGGTGTCCCCAGTGACATCATCACCCGCCAGGCTCCAGCCCCCTCCCTGTTACCCCCCCGAGAAGGCACAGAACGAGTCAAACTGCCCTGGGCAGCAGCGCATTGCTATAATAATTTCGTTGGCAAACGTACCCCCCTCCCAAAAAAGAGGGCTGTACTACAAAAATAAAGGCAGGGCAGCCTTTAGGCTGCAGGGTTGAATTCCCCTCCCCAGCTCCTGTCCCCGCGGCACAGGGGCAGCGTGTCCGAGGGCGGTGCCTCGCCTCCCGCTCAGGCTCCGCTCCGTTCCTGCGCTCCAGCAGCGCCAGGAGATGTCTCGTCCCTTCCCCAGGGTTCTGCAGCAGGGACATCCCCCCGAAAGGCTGCAGGGCACGGCTGGACCAGGATGGGAGTCTGGACTCCCAGACCCATCCAACAGCTCCGGCCCTCGCGCCGCTGCTGCTCCTCCTGCTCGGCCAGTGGGGCTGAAAGTCAGGAGTGAAAATTTACAGAGTAAACTGAAAAAAACAACCCCAAATCTCAGTAACTCACTTCGTAGTGAAAAGCTGTACCTCTGTTTACATACGTCCAGTAAAAATGCTCCTGCTGGAGGAGTCTTGGATTTTCCCTTGGCATTAACTGAACTGGCACAGCTGCAAACTGATGTCATATTCTTGCAGGGTTGCTGGGAGGGATTTAGGGGCCCAAAGAGGTTTTGGGAGGTACTTGGAGGGGTTTGGGTGGGCTTGGGGTTGCTGGGATAATTTTGGTGGTTCTCCGATTGGTTTTGGGGGTGTTGAAATATTTTAGGGGGTGCTGGGAATAGCTTGGGGGTTCTAAAATGGGTTTGTGGGTTGTTAGGTAGCGTTTGTGGCTGGTTTGGGGTGCTGGGGTGTTTGGAATCCTTGGGGGGTTGGGGGTCTCACCTTTGGGGGCGGCTGTAGCAGGTGAAGTCGGGGGGTGCCTCAGCACAGCTCACCTAAGGTCAGGGTTTGGATCACCCAGAATAGGTGTTGAGGTGTACCAGGTTTTTTTAGGGCTACCTCTGCTTTCTTTTCAGTGTGCTTGTCTCTGTGCATTTGGATCAGAGCTGCTCTGCCAGGGCTGCTGACTTGATGGTAGGCAGAATATGCCCCTCAAAACTCCTCACAAGCCACCAAGAGCCCCATAGCCCCCTGCAAGACCCTCCAGGATCCAACCAGCACGTGTGGGATGGGAGTACTTGGGTGCATCCCACAGCCTGGCTGGGGGGGACCCTCCCCAGGTACCAGGACCCCCCTGTGGCCCCCCAAGCTGTCCACAATGCACCTAGGGGAGGTCCCAGTGCCTCCCATTCACCTCCCAGTGACAGCTAGCTCTTCCCAGTCAACCCCTAGTGCATCCCACTAATTCCTGGTGCCACCCAGACCCCTTGGTTCCTGCCTAGTTCTGCTCAGTCCCCCACCAATGCCCCCCAGTGACCCCTGCCCTGGAACTCCAGCCTTTAGACACCACCATAGATAGAAAGAGATCAGTGGCCTCAAAGTGATGTAGAAAAGTGGCTTGTGAAAAGCAATGACATTATTGTTATGAACAAGAATGTGCATGAATTTGCTGTTAAAACCCCAGAACGTTGCTGGGTTAAACTTCATTCCTCTCCAGAGACATTGGGAACATTTGGGACATCTGGGACATCAGAGACATCAGGATTATCTGGGACATTTGGGATATCAGGGACATCTGGGACACTTGGAATATTTAGGACATCAGGGAATGAGGGAAACCTCCAGAAGTCCCTTCTGCTGCCATTGCACTTTCTTTTCTTTACCTGAATGCCTTTCAACTAAACAGTGTGCCTTTAATTATTTTTGACCCCCGGTCCCCATTTCGCTACATATGTACCAGAATTATCACAGCCTGACATGAAACTGCTGATATGGTTATCTGGTTCTGAATAGCCTTGCTTCCCCAAACTCCCTGTCATCATTCCAGACTCTGCTCTGCCCTTGGTAGGTTCTTATCTTGTGTACTGATATTTTACATATCAGATCAATGGGATATGCTTTGCTTTCTGTCAGTATCCCCTAAAAACCCTCCATGGTAATGTCCCTGTTCTGATACTGGCTGTTAGTGCATCGGTGCTGTCCTACTTCCTTTCCAGAATATCCTCGTGCTTCTGTCTGAGAGATTCTTTAGCCCATTTCACAGCTCTAATATTAAGCCACCATTCTCAATTATACCTTCCTCAGAATATCTTTTTACCTCTCTCGTTTACAACCCTCGTGCTGGCACATACCATGCAATAATCACACTTTTTCAATGCCTCATTATCTCCTGAGCAAAACTGTACTGTCAGCATCTATTCTTTATCATTCTTCTAGCTGATAACTGGTTTTAATTCCTCCAGTAAAATTAAAGCATAGACCCAGTGCCAATGACTCTGTGGTCTTGAACTTTGAAGCAGGAATGTTTTTAAAAACGATAACATCTACTTCCATTTCAGAAAAACTTAACTATTAAAATAATGCGTAGGAGTTCAAGTGACTACCTCCCCTACCCCCTCTATCTTCTCCTGAATTGGACATGACCTCTGAAAAGGAACATTTCATTCAGTTTGTCTTGCTTCAGTAGTTTACAACAAACCTTTGAACAGTGAGAATCTTGTTTATTTCTGGACACCTCTTTCTATAAAAGGCTTTTCTCAGACTGGCACAAAGACTACTGAAATCAGCCATCCTGAATCATCTGGACAAAATATGAAATTCATTGGCATAATTGTTTCTTTCTTCATTCTCTTCACCCTTACTGCTCTTCGTAATGCAGGTGAGTAATTTTCAAAGATTCTGCTGCTTTTATCTACAAACTTTTTTAACTTCTGAACTTCAGAATACACACCTCAGTGAAATTGCTGATACCATTTGTACAAGCTAAAGCAAAGGCACAGAAGTGCCTTTACCAGCTTTTACCAGCATGGTGTCATTTTCATTTCCTTCCTCTGTAATTTCCAGCATGTCGGTGGATCTCTGTAAATAAACAGACAATCTGGAGAACGCAGTAAATATATTTAAAGACAGAAAAACTTTCTAGCTCCCTTTATTGAACAAGCACTTCTACCTCCCTTCTTCCCATTTCCCCATGCTTGTTCTTCACCACCCACCTTGAACCCTGCCTTTCTTTTTATTTGTGTCCTCCCAAATAAGCAACTCTCCCCTAGTAAATTTTTCATGATTGGTTCCAAATTTTGCAACAAGAAAGAAATTTCAGTAGCTTTTAATAATCTCGTGTTGGAGCACGTCTTGTTGCTGATATTAACCTTCCAAGAGCTTTAACCTTCTGTTCTTATTGATTCCCTTCTAGGGTTGATGGTGAGGGAACCCCATTCAGATATGTTTAAGACTTAACTCTCAGAAATAAATATAATTAGTGACACTCGCTGAAGGGCTGCTCTGGAGATTTATCTGTCTCTTGCATGTAAAATTACCCATGGAAGTGATGAAATTATGTAGTGGCTTGGAGGTAAATAAGTGTATTTTCCTATTCAAAATGGAGCAGCCCTAACATGCAGGTGATTACAGCCTTCGCCTAAATACATTCCTAAAATAGCACAACCAGCATACTTTATTGATTTACAGTAATCCTTTAGGTGATATACTTTTGTTTTAGAGAACATCTAGAAAAGTTCAATAACATTTCTGTCTGTATGTTTTTTTATTTCCTTTAAAAAGGAGCTCAAGACTCTTGCTCACACCAGTGTGGGGAGCTGCTTAGTACCTGTTCTTGCCAGGTGACGTGCCAGTCCTTGGGGAATTGCTGCCCTGATTATAAAGAATTTTGTCTTCAGATTTCTCCATACTCAGGATCTCTGATGGGAGGCAAAGACTTTTTGATTGAAAATACAGCTTTTAATACCTCTTCTGTGCTAACATGCAGGTGGGCCATGATTTTTTATAATCTCACTTTCCGACTATAGGTAATTACCACAAAACAAGACTAGTCTGTACAGGAGTGAAAACTTTGTAAAGTTGTTAGAGTCCTGAAACACACAAAAGTTCTGCTGAACCTCACCCTCGAGAGTACATGTTGACTGTATTTCTACACAGGATCATTTCTTCTAAGTCAAGTTATTGTGTGATACAATCATTATTCTGCTAATTTATAATTTCTCCCTCCCCCAGTAATTACATAGTAAATTGAAGGCTTGTAGACTGCTGTGTGCAGTGCACAGCAGGTTCCACACTGGTGAAATAAGCACAAACAAATTTTTTCAGTTTATACTCACTACTACGAGCAAAACTTGAACTTGAGCAGATGGGACTTCAAATGATCTGCTCATGACACAAGGTTGCTCGATGAAACACAGCTGAGACATTCAGAATTTTCCTTCTCTCAATGGTGCCACTGAAAAGTGTTTTCAACACCTACAGGTTCAAGCAGGAAATCAAAACCAGTGGCTATATTGCTGAGGATGGAAAAGGCCACTGCATCTCCCCGTTGCTTTATGAGACTGGTTTCATCCCTTTTGAAGTTTCTATAGATGATGGGAGGACGTTCCCCTACTCTGGAACTTGGCTATCAGGTGACTTACTTAAATTTACACCATTCCTCTTCTTCCTATATTCTTCCTTGTTGGATGCAAGTTTACATAAGCCTTCCCTTTTTGATAATTTTTCTTCTTCTTTAAGAGGCCTCAGAGAAGTAATTCTTGCTGTCCTCATGCTAATTCATCTTTCGAGAGATGAACTTTTATGGCAATTGAGTTCTGCTGTGATACAGTAGCAGCAGCAGCATTAACTCATAAAAAGTCCTGCTTAAAAATGAAGTTGACCAAAACAGTTACCTTTTTGTCACTACTTCTGTTAGAAAATAACTGCTCTGTGGTGTTCAAACATTAGTAAGGGCTCAGCTTCAGCTTGCTCTCTTTATGTTGTGCATCCTGTACTGTGTCAAACATACACAGGGGAAACACTGCTAAATCTTAAATAACATAGTAGCACTTTTTCAGAACTATGCAAAGTAAAAATGTCATTAGTCCTTTTTTTCTGCTCTGTAATGCAGTACATCACAGCAAGGTTTCAGATGAAGAAAAATGTACTTTGGTAAATGAGACAAAGTGGCAATACTACGGTACCCCCAGCACTTACGGAAACTTAACTGTTACCTGGACACATCAGGCACTTGCAGAAACCCACGTCAACATAGAAGTCTGGGGATACCATGAAACAGGTAAAGTGAAACTTTTCCTACCTGTGCACAAGCATTTATTGTAAGTTATTGCATGACTTATGTGCAGAACTCTGCACAGCATGTGACCGCTTTCACTGAGACCTCAAGAAGAGATCTGCAAGTATAAATAACTCATGACAGTAATGTCAGCTTTTCCTCTTCATTTACTTATGTGGAGACATCTAATTTCAATCTTGTGGTAATTGTTCTTTTCCAGTGTCCAAAACCATTTTCTTCCTCTGACAGGTGACAGCTACTCAGAAAACTGGTTGGCTGAATGGAAATATCTTTATACTTTGGCCAGAGAAATCCCCAATACAGGGAAACTTACTTTCACTCCTGTACCTGCTGAAGGAAATTACAGTACATGGGACTTCGGAATTTTGAGGATTACACCCAGCAGCTATTCTGATGGGCAGAGGCAAGTGCATCACAGCATTCATTAATCATAGGTACCTTATTATTGCTTCCTGAAGTAAAGTTGATATATCCTTTGGCATTTAAAACTGGGACTCAGGCTCCATTTCACGTGAAAAAATGGGGAGAGAATTGGAAGGGCAAAAGTGGGAAAAACTCATGGGTCAAGGTAAAGGCAATTTATTAAGTAAAGAGGGGCATGGGCAGAGAGGGAGTAAGGCAAAGGCAATCAGTAACCACGTGCCACAAGCAGAGTGATGCACACTCAGTCACCTGGTAAGGGCTGCTTTGGAAAAACTCTGCTGCAGTTTTATTGATGGACATGATATGGAATGGTGTATGGAATATACCTTTGTTCAGTTTGGGTTTGCTGTCGTGGCTGTGTTCCCTCCTAGCCTCTTGACAAGCCCTAGCCTATTTCCTGTGGGACAGCACGAGAAACACAGAGAATCTTGACACCATGCAAGCACTGTTTGGCAGTAACCAGAACACTGTGTGTTATCAGCATTGTTTGGTCACAAATGTGAACCACGGCACTCTATGGGCTGCCTGAAGAAAATTATTCCACCCCAGCCAAACCCAGTACCCTCAGCAGACTCAGATCTGCCGATTTTTTTGTCACACCTGTAGAGGAGTCCCTAACTGTGGAACTTCTGTCACTGCAGCCACAGGCCTTCCTCTGCATTTAATTTTTTTTCTATTTTGTATGCAGCCTTTGCAGTCCTACAGATTTTATGACCACTTCCTTTTATTTCATTGTATATTTTCCCGTGAGTTTTGGTGAATTACCTCTGTAAGTGCTCCATACATATTCTGACCTTGCATATCCCTCATAATTCTTCCACCTCTGCAGTTTTTGATGTAGATGGTGTAGATTCTGTGAATATATAAATGCCACCTTTTCAGAGTTCGAACCTGTTGCTAATATGTCAGAACCTTCTTTAGCATTTAGGAGTCACTACCCAGAGAACGGTAACCTTTTCTCCTTCTTGAGGGATTTTTATTATGCTTTGTATATGATATTTTTTCATGGGTAGAAAGCAGATTAGCTTTGGAACATTTCATGGATTCTAAATGGTTTTTCCCTGTCTATTGCCATTAGCCCTGATACTACTGGGGCACAGGGTTATGTTTTGTTAGAGAATCCAGATGTTCTTCATTTTGTCCTAAATAGAACTGCAATGTCAAAAGGCATGAATAGAAAACCTGTCTCTAAAACCATTCAGGTAAGCCAGAATCATGAATATTAAAATGTATTCTGATTATTGTGTACTTGCTGCATGCTGCCCTCTCACTTTCTGAATTTTGAAAATTTTGATTGGCCATAACATTTTGCAGGAAAAAGAAAACAATGGGCTTCGTAATGAAATAACACCTTGCAAATTAAAAGATATTTCGTAATTATAGTTAGTGATTTGACAGTGTTACTGTCAAAATAATGCTTGTTCAGCTCTCAGATCTATTTGGCTCTTTTCTTTTTTTCCCCCAGCAACATTCCATCACTCTGGAGCAATGAGCATGCATTGGCTTGGCACCTCGGGAAAGACTTCAGGGATGACCCAAATGCATGGGCAACTGCAAAATGTATGGAATGGGACAGAAAGGAGGAGAAGCTTCCAAACTTCAAGGAAGAAATTATAGACTGCCCTTGCACTTTGGCACAGGCAAGAGCTGACACTGGCAGGTTCCATGTAAGTTATTGATTGATCCCTTTGGCTTATTACAGTTCCAAGTAGAAGCTTAGGGAATGCCATACTCCACACACCTCCCTGTTCCTTTTCTAAACATCATTACAAGGCAATTAAATTATGTTTAAACTTGCACCGGTAGGATGTCAAATAGCAGAGACAAATACAGCTTATTCAGGTAGTATGAATAAAAGAAGTGTCTGTAGGACAGCAGATGGAAATTACCTTCAAACAGGGAATTCAGACAGTAATTCCAGTGGTAGACAGAAAACACCATGGAGGACAGTGAGCTCTGTGGAGCTGAGAGCAGGGTTGTCTTCTTCAAGATCCTACAGGATGGCAGTCTGTGTTCATAGGTGATATCCTAGGATGGAAGAAGCAGGTCACATTTCTTCCTAGTATGCCAGACTTCACTACAAGCCCTTATGCCTTGTGCTTCAGAGCTCAAGTCCAGAGCCATAATCCATTATTTCCTTTCTCCTGCTTCCTTCCTCTTTCTCAGCTACACTGTGTAACAAGGAACTGACAAAAGCTAAGAAATCAATTGCCATTTAGTCTGCACTTTCAGTTGCAGTGCTGATCCGAGGACCAGATGAGGGGAACTTTATCTCCTATTTGTGATAAGAAATGGTGGCAGTGTGTTTATACATATTAAAAAAAAAATTAGGTAGATTTTGCTACCATCTTATTCTGGTTATGAACCTCCAAATTTCTTGTATATTCCAAATGACACAGTTAAAAGCATGTGAAGGAAAAAAAATAGATCCACTGTACTGCCTCTGTCTAAGAACATAGGACAAACTTTTAGTTTGTTGTGATCTGTGTTTGTTATATGCTTATAGTTGAATCTCATCTAGCTGCACTTGTTCTTCAACGTCTGTTGTAATAGACTGCAAAATGGTCAGCTTAAGCCTGTTGCCCCAGACACTTCAGTATTAAATTCACTGATTTTCCTGTCATTCCATGCTATTCAGCACACAGTCTCAACCAGTTCATGTAGATTTTACACATATGTCAGATACAAAGGGTGAGGGGAGGATACATAAATGGAAAGGACAACGGGGAAAGAACCCCATTAAATGTGAACATTGATCTTTTTCAGACAGATTATGGCTGCAACATTGAGAAGGGGAGTGTGTGTACTTATCACCCTGGTGCTGTGCACTGTGTGAGAGCCATTCAAGCCAGGTAGAGAAAATTTTTTGAACTCCATTCTTTTTATTCCATCTCAGAGACAGCAGCATCACAGGAGGAACAAAGGTCTCTGGCATCTTAACTCAGGTTCATAGCAACCATTGTTTCTCTCTTACTCATATACTGACCCTCATTGCTGAGATGAAGTTAAGGCCTTAGATTTAATAAACAAGAAATTGCAGCATGTGAAACCTTAGGATACCTAAACAGGAGCTAATGGCTAGAATAGATCTGAGTAGGCCTAATTAAGCCTTTTCTGTGTTGGTCTAATTAAGTTCAACAAGTTAATCTTTGCACTATTTCTATAAGAACAATTTCAAAGAGTGGTATGTTCGTGTAGCTTTAAGGCCTACAGAAGGCCTTTTAACCAAGTCCTTCCTTCCTGTCTTGGTCAAAAACCTTTCCCTCCCTGTCCCTACTCTGGTCTAATTTATAAGAACCAAGAGGGGCAGGGTGAAGTCTAACTGGACACCACATAAAGCTTGCCAACCAAAATGTTTAGCTGTATCCATAAAAAGGCAATAGGCAACCCCTAAACACAAAGGAACCTCACAGAGCTGAATGATGACTTTCTTGCTGCTTCTCTCCATCAGTCCCCAGTATGCAGCAGGACAGCAGTGTTGCTATGACCCCACGGGAACACAGATCCTCACACATGACTCCACGGGAGGCAGCACACCCGATCGAGGCCATGACTGGGGTTCACCACCTTTCCTGAAGCCTCCCCGGATACCTGGCTTTTCCCATTGGCTTTATGATGTTATCAGCTTCTATTACTGCTGCCTGTGGTCTGATAATTGTCAGTTCTATATGAAAAGGCGTCCCTCTAGTGACTGCAGGACGTATCGCCCACCTCGAGCTGGTAAGGGCTTCATAATTCTGTTATGGAGTATTGCCTTTTGATACAGTGTTAGCTTTTAGAATACTTGTATATGTTGACAATGGCAGGGGTACAATGTTCTGTGGAAAAATTCCATGGAAGGTTTCCACTGATCTATCAGTAGTAAAATCTGTATGTGTTTTTTAGTTGTCCTGCAAGATTTTCTGCTGTTGAGTATCTCATTAACCCCTGGAACATAAATAGCCAAAGCTTAGTAGTCAATGCCCATGACTTGCTGCCATCACTGAACACTTTTTCAGAAAGAAGATGGTTAGAGGTGGTTTAAGACAGGTAGGCAGTAGCTAGAAAAGCTGTCATGTTATTCATATGAAACAAGGAAGTTTTACCGTTTACAGTGTGTCTGTTGCTCCTGCCCCTTGCTTTGAAGTAAGTCCTCGAGCCTTGCCATGTCTCTATTGCTGCCTCATGCCTTGCCTTCTATGCTGCTCAGATGCTGAGGTGTCCAGCAGGACATGGCCTCCCATAAATAAGGAAAGTGCAAAGAGGCAGCAGTTTGCAGCAGGAAGAAAGGAGAAAACTGCAGAGGTAACTGGGGGTCATGAATGAGTGGTTTGCCTGCCTAGAGAAACCCCATCAAAGGTATTGGAAAAAACAGCCTTTTGAAGTGCAGCTCTGAATGTTGGCCAAAAAATATGAAAGTAACTGGAATTACATTTCTCCTTTTCAAGATTCTCATGGCTGTTCCTCATATCCCATTTACTATAGATCAGATCAGCCTTGCATTTTTTCCTTTGTTTAAATGCCATTCTTCGGATCACCACAATGAGATTTATTTTTATTTCTCATGAACTTAAGAGGAGTAATGGGTTGTGATTTTTGCTTGTTCTTGTTTCTCATTTTGCTTTCAAAAATAGCATCTGCTTTTGGGGATCCTCATTTCTTCACATTTGATGGTCTGAACTTCACCTTCAATGGCCTAGGAGAATACCTGTTGGTAGAGTCTGATCTCACATCCCTAAGGGTGCAAGGCAGGACACAGCAGGGTCGCCTTCCCAATGGTAAGTCGGCAAGAGAAACCAGTGATGACAAATGAAAGCTTCTGAGGTTACTTGATTTGCACTTTACAGCATTCCTCCTGTCGTCTCTAGTCTTCTCCTTTTTTGGCTATTTGTGAAAGGTCACCTTTTTGAAGATAATCAGAAGGCAGACAATATGTTCAGGAAAAAAATAACTTCCTAATCAAAGTTTAATTACTGGTTTTATTGGGTGTGAGAAATGGCAGTATAAGGTTTTCTGTTGTGTTTAAGAGCTCAAAAAAAAAAATCTTATTTTCTCTCCATATCCATTCTCATCTATAAGGAAACATAAGGTCAGCTCTAGAAATCATTCAATAGGCATAGCTGCCAGCTGATGCATTTTGATAGTATTGTGGCTGAAAATGAATAGAAAGCATGTAAGTGTATGCCCTGATTTATTTTCTTTCTGTGTTAGATGTATATGCATGTGTGTGTTGACAGAGCAAAAATGTTCCACAATGAGCAGAGAAAACACACTTTGGATGGGGAAAAAAATCTTTCTGAGCACCTGAAGCTAGCAGAAAAGTACAGAATGTATGGTGAGAAGTTGGTTAAGGGGGTAATTTTTTTATCAAAAGGCCTGATGGTCCCAGTCTGTTGGTTTGTTCATAAAATGAAACCAGAAGAAGCTTTCTGGAGGTACCTGTGGCCTTCACAAAGGGCAAATTGCAAACCAGCCTGTAAGAAGGAGACTGTCATACAACTGCATTTTAAAGTGAGGGAAAAGTAGAGTGTGAAAGAGCATAATGGGATCATGCTTCTCATAAGGCTGAAAAGATACTTTTGTTTATGCTTTTCCTCTATCTAGTGCTATTTTATGGTGAATAAAATAGCAGGCTTGGCTCAGTAAAGAATATCCCACCTGGCCTTAAGGATGCTCTTCAAGGATTTGGTACTTCTGGTACAATTATATGGAAGAACTAAAAATTGTGTGTGCATTTCAGCACCTATGTAGATATACAGCTCATACTGAATATCACATTAAGTAGGACAGAGATTTTCAAGGAAATGTTTTGCCCTTGATAGGTTTTACTGTGTTTATGGCAAAAGTAGCATGAGTCACTGAGCAGTTTCTTCTGAAGATCAGTTTCTTAAATTTTTCTTTATTCTGTTTCCTTTTTTTGTCATGCCCTCCCTGAAATCATCTTCAGTTTTCCCAAACCTTACTCACAGGACTGAAGGTACAAGCAGATCAGCCAACCTCCTTATATAGTATAGCCACTGCCATTAGGATGAAGAATTTAAAATTTCCAGTCTTTTTTAGCATTAAACATTCTGCTTTCAGTGTATTGGAAGATGATGTCTACTGTGGGGTTTTATGTGACTTATATGCTTAACCATTCCCTCAAATATAAATAATTATATTTAATTATTTTTAGGAAATATCTGTTTGAGGGTTTTTTTCCTGTATTGCTATAACCTTCTATATTTACTTTATTTCATGTTGAGTATTTTAGGGGATTGTTTTTTTATTTGGAAGGAACTGGAGCTCAGGGGACAGGCTTGTCTGCAGTGGCCATGCAGGAGAACAACTCTGATGTGATTGAAGTACGGTACTCAGAGGATTTGAATCTGGAGGTCCTGTTAAACCAAAAGGTTCTCAACTTCTCTGAACAAACCTGGATGGACCTGAAAGGTTAGTTACAAATATCAGCCTTGTAAGCTATTGTATTCCAGAGGAGCCCATGTACAGTTAAAAATATCTCTAGATGCATGCATTTCAACTCTCTTTTCAGCATCTTTTTGTGAAAACAGCCTGCAGGTCACAGAAAAAAATATGTAAGAAGTAAACAGAGAACAGGCAGTGTCCCAACTCATTAGAATTTATTTTATTATTACATGACTTTCTTCAGTTGCTGCCAGATTGAGGCTGAATCAGTGGTAGTGCTCTGTTGACATGCACCTTGGTGAAAGAGATAAAACTGAGAGCAGGGGGTAGAATGCCCTTTCCATCCAGTTTGCCCACCTGGCCTTGTGTTTATGCTAACCCAGTGCATGGATTCATCTGGCCTTTGAGACTGTTGACAGCCACGATATCAGCAGGAATATAGCAGGAATGTAGCCCCCAGAATTATGGGCTATACATCTCCTTCCAAATAGCCATGGATCAAGGATGCTACAGGGAAACACACTGTGGCTGTCTGTGTTCCCATGGAGAAGTGTAGCAGAGAGTCATGGTTCAGGTGAGCACATCAGAACCTGCATTGCTCACCACCAGCTAACTGGCAGCACCTAAGCTGTGTTCAGGAAGAGGCAGAGTCATCTGATTTGCCAGTGGTCTGGGCTGTGGCACATTCTCCTTTCCCAGAATGTCCAAATAATGTAAATGACAACCTCTAGCAAAACCTGCTTTCTGCCTGAACTTTCTAGGATGCAGGAGGATTATGAAGGGATGGCATACAACCAGAGAATCATAAATGGATTAGGTTGGAAGGGACCTTAAAGATCATCTCTTTCCAGCCTCTCTGCCATGGGCAGGGACACCTCCTACTAGACCAGGTTGCTCCAAGCCTCATCCAACCTGGCCTTGGACACTTCCAGGGATAAGGCAGCCACAGCTTCTCTGGGCAACGTGTGCCAGGGCCTCACCACCCTCACACCCAAGAATTTCTTCTTAATATCTAATCTAAACCAAACCTCTTTCAGTTTGAAGGCATTATCCTAGAAAGAACAATGAAATGTTTTAACAGGTAGCTTCCATGTCCATGTCTTATATGTCCTCTTTCAGTGGCTTGTAGAGCAATAGTTTTCCTTCTCATCCTGTGGACAGTGAATGCAATTAAAACCTCCTGTACTCTACATTTTACTTTGAGCTACTGCATCTAATGCAATGAAGCCTACCAAGTAAAATGAAATAGTGAAATATAACCAAAATATATACTGAAATATAACTGAATTTCACATCTACCTATCAGGAGCTCTCTCAGTAGGTCAGATGTTATTCCTCCATTCTTCTGTCAAAAAAACTATGAAAAGTTGACTTTTTTTCTTCCAGGGCTGTGATCATTTGATTAATCTTTATGATAATTTGACAAATACTCTTAACTTCAGTAGGATTTTAACAGTAACCCTCCTATTCAGCAGAGGTTTTCTGTGGCTAGCAATTAGTATTCCTCAAATGGCTGAAGAGCAGAGGGGAGGGCTACACTGACAAGGAGCTGCAGAAGCAGAGAGATGCAGAGAGGAAAAAAAATGGAAGGGACACTGATGGGGCTCAGAGAAGAAGCCATATCAGGAAGGTCTTGGCAAGGCAAGGAAGAAGGAGAGGAAAGCTGTGACTACTGAGAGTGGTGCTGCCAGCTCACAGTCACTCTCTGATGCAGTCATCTCACATCTTAGAGCTTCTGGTCTGGGGCACTGGCAGAAGGCAGTGCATCTGATATCAGCAGTGGACCTTTCTTTGCTACTGCTCTGTAGTAGCCATCTTACCATAATTGCAGTATGAAGGTGTGGCTTTCCTTTAAATGCTTCTCAGAGTGTAGCCCAAAGTGGAAGGGAGGAAAAGCTTTATGAGAAATGGTTATAACTGATGATGATTTTAAGTGATGCTAAAACACAACAGTTTGTTCACTATGGATAATTAGGTATTTTGTCCTCTTCCTGTCATTGTTATAGGTCTCTTTCTCCATTCTACACCTGATCAGAACATCACAGTGATGTTCTCTTCTGGGTGTGGAGTGGAAATACGGGGAAATGGAGGATTTCTGACCCTGACAGTTCTGCTCCCAGAGAAGTTCATGAATCATACACAGGGTCTCTTTGGGGTAATGAATGGCAATACAGAGGATGAGTACACCTTCAGGAATAAAACCACCTTGCCAGTTCATGCAAGTCCCCAGCAGTTGTTTGAGTTTGGAGCTAACTGTAAGTCATTTCTCTGGTCTATTATTACATTTTCTTTACAAATTCAAAACAGCTTGTGATTGAAAGGCTAGGAAGTGAAGTCTATGCCAAGCAATCGGTACTGGGGGAAGAGGAGAGAGTAAGAGAAATATACTCTCCTCTACCCAATTTAATAATTGTCTATTTAAAAAAAAGGTGCAGGAGGATGTGTGTAAAAAAATGGCTCCTGTCATTTAATGAGTACTAGGCTGCTATATCTAGCCACAGGATTAGATTGATCAGCATTCCTCCTGGCATCAGGTTAGGAGATGGGCCAAAAATATGATGCAGAAATACCCTCTGGCTACCAGTTGATCTCTGTGTTGAGCACAGTGCAACCCAGGATTCAAAGCATACTGAAAAGTCTCACTGCTTCAACCTCAGAAATTTCTGATTTAGCAGAATGAACACGAAGAGCAGGGCTATAACAGACATGATGAATTTAGGGGCACGTAGTCTCAGGATTTGTGTTGCTTGTAGTTTTTACTTTTGTGATTTGTTGCTCTGTCTGTTATCACCATTTTGCTAGCAGGCATATAAAACCATCTTTATGTAAAATCACAGCTACACAATTATTTGGATCTAATTTTAAGAAAACGATCAAACACCATATTAAACAAACACTAACTTTGGTGCTAAGTTAAGATGTTGCATATGAAAAGGAGAATAATCTTGAGCTGAAAGGATGCTGGAGGCCTTCCTAGATGTCTTCCAGCTCTAGCTACATTTACATAAATAAGCACTTGGATTAGTAGCAGAAGGTGGTGTGTGCAGGCAGTGTTACATATGAATCTCTCTCTCTGTCTCTCAAGGGGCTATTGAGAGTGGAACTTCTCTCTTTACTTATGACACAGAGTTCTTACTGAACAATTTCTTTTATGGGGAGAAGCACAATGCTTCCTTCCTGCCTGTGTTCTTCCCCCATGAAGACCCTGCTGATCCCCTGGTAGAAGAGATGGTCTCACTCTGTGGCTCTGACCCGTTCTGCAGATTCGATGTCCTGACAACAAGAAGCCTTCAAGTGGGAAATTCCACAAGACTATCTCATCAGAATCACAAGCTGCTGGTAGAACATCTGGAGCCAGGTGATACAACGTTCCTCAAAGCATCATTGCAGAATCACAGAATCTGAGCTGGAAGGGACTCACAAGGATCATGGAGTCCAACTCTTAAGTGAATGGCCCATACAGGGCATCACTACAGTTATTTTTACAGGGCATCTAAATAGTTAACAATATTTGAGGAGGCTTTGCTTAACTGTAGGTTCATGCACTTGTAAATACTCTTATCGGGAGGAATTGTCCTTGTACCAGGAAAACTCTGCACTGCAGGAATACTTAGGCAAACACAAAATATATTTCTTTCCATTTCGTCCTACACCACAGTGTAGAAACTTTATCTTCATTTTCTATGCATTCAGCTGTCATCCTTGGACTTAAAAATAATAATAATTTTTAAAGTATCAGAAGTATTTTCATTCAGATTGCCTAAAAGTCTTTGTCTTTCCATGAGTTGCCACTAAAATGCCATTTGAATCATTGTAATGGAGATTTGCTAGTCCAAATCAAAAATACTTTCATCAGATATGTCTCTTTTACTAGTGATCTCTTGTGGCTGGCTGGACCATCCAATCAATGGAACAAAGAATGGAACTAACTACCTGCTGGGCTCAAGCATCATTTTCCTCTGCAGTCAGGGCTATGAACTCACCGGGTCAAAGGAAAGAACTTGCCAAGCATCGGGGGCCTGGTCTGGAGACACACCCAGTTGCATCCAGAAAATAGGTCTGTTGCCTTTTAAATGTTACATATTGTCATAAAATCATTATCACACATGAGGCAATCTCAGTACACCATGATGGCCCTTGACAACAAAAACTTCTTTTACTCAGGAAAACGTTGGACATAAGATCTCTGGATTTCCAGAGAGAGTAATATTCAAATCTAAATAACAGGTGGTTTATGGTGGGTTTATGGATTTTGTTGGGGCTGTAAAATTTTTTATACTTTTAAAAATTATTTAATCTATCTACTCTTTCTAAGGGTTTAGGGCTACAAGCTTCCCTTTCTGTAGGGTTGGCTAGGAACTGGCAGGGATGCTTTTTGAGTGGATGACCTAACACAAATTTCAAAATCACTCTTAGAAAAACAGGAAAGCATAGTACTTAGCTAAAAAGAGAAACTATGGATTATTGGAAACCTTTAGTATCCACATAATTTGAGCTACTTTTCAAGTATAAATGATGGCACAACCCCCAACCACTTAGTGTCATCTTTCATTCTGTCATCACTAATACAGTTTTAAGTTCCTTTGCAACTAATTGGGGCAAACATATATCCAGTCTGAGCCACCTGAGGGGTGAGTTATGAAGCTACACATTATAAAATGAGCACTTGAAGAGAAACTTTACAGAAAAGGACCTGGGGGCAACTGGCCCTGAGCGGTCCTGGGCAACTGGCCCTGGGTGGTCCTGTTTGAATGGGGGAGTTGGACATGATGACCACCAGAGGTCCCTTCCCACCTCGGCTGTTCCATGATTCTGTGAGTCAAGAGCAGATACAGCCCACACTTGTTGAACGCTTTCACCCTTTTTTTCTGAAGGGTTATGTTATCTCAAAACATAATGCATCATTCTATGGCAGCAAAACTATTGTAATGGTGTAATATAATAAAATGATGTAATAGTATTTAGGATAACTAACAAAATTTTATTATCTTTCTTGTGTTAGTCCCATTAGATTAACAATTAGCCTGGACTTTTGGATTTAGTAGCAGTTAGGCTGTCTCTTTGATTTACAGAAAACAACCCCAAATTTTCCTTTTAATCATTCACCACGTACACTCCAAATGTCCTCAAGATGGCAATATTTCAAAGCACCAAGGTGATGCAAGGCCAGATGATGTTTGAAGAACTTTTAATGCTGAGTTAATAGTTCCCAAAAGCACTCATCAAATAATTCATACCAAGAGATTCTCCATCAAATAGTTAATACCAACAGATTCTCCACTCTGAGCACCTTCCAAAGAAATGTGGAATGTGCACCTCACTTCAGCAATGAATTCCTGTCATGCTGACACATTTCATCAGCCTCTGCTGGCCTGTACCAATTGCTTGTATGTTTTGAATGCAGCTCTGCACGTTTAGTGATATTTGTAAGATGAACTGCAGTGAGTTTGGGCAGCAGACAAATGTGCAAAGGCCAGATCTTAAAAAGCCAGTGGCAAAACACTCTGCCAAGCTGAAAGCTAAGAACATTTTTCCACTGCTGCCATCAACCACATACATGCTGGCTAAGAGCCAATCAGTCTCAATAAGCAAAACGGATGCTGACATTTACATTAGAAAAAGGGAGCAGAAAGCCAGCCCAGAATGATCAGAGGGAAGGAGCTGGGAAACATGCAGTGATTAATTGCATTCAGAATGATGGAGACGTGATGCACCTTTATGGGCAAGGAAACAAACCCCACAGTGCTGTCCAATGGTTTCCTGAAAGATGACAAAGAACCACAAGGTATGAAAGAATTTTATTGATCTGATTGCAACAAAGACCTTCCTTACTATTTGATATTATGAAAACTGGATAGGAAGAGAGACAGAAACAGGAAAATTTAATGCCAGTTATTTTGCAAAATCCATTTCAGTATTTGAAACTTCAAATACAAATTATGCTGTTGGGCCTGCATATTGCTTCCTTGAATTAAAATTTCCATGGAAATCCTCTGCTAATAATTATTTTGCTATGCTTCTAATTACAATCCCACTGCAAGTCTTGCCAGTACCACAGCAACCTCTCTTCACACTGTATCACAGAGGAAGAACAAAGAAGCCATCCAAGCACAACCAAAAAGGAGATTCTAGTAAAATCACAAGTAACATCCAGCTAAAAATCATAAAATCCTAGCAATATATGGAAAAGGATTGAAAAAAATCCAGTTTGGGGGATTGGCAGTTCTGCATAAATATTGTACATTCACGATGATGCTTACATATTAACCACTAGCCACCCTTTCTTTGACTTACAACAGCTTTTACAGCCACCTGCCCCAACAGTCAAATGCAGAAGTTCTGTGAGTTCCTGATTTGTACCAGTTTCAGAGAATCACAGAATAGTTAGGGTTGGAAGTCCAACCCCCATGCCAAGGCAGGCAGTTTGTTCCACAAATAAAAAGAACAGAAAAATTGTATGTACAATTTCAAAAATCGTTTTGTGACTGCATTCAAACAGATATGAATAAATGTATCAAATTCTTCCTGGTTTTTTTTGTGCTTGGTCTGTTTTTCAGCTATTGAACAACTAATTCTTCTTGGCTGTGTATTTGGAATAGTTGGTGTTGCAGTTCTGGCACGTCTGACTTTTTTATGTAGAAAGGAGAGGTAAGCCTCAATTAAACTGAAAACACAAATGAACCTCCTAAAGAAATAGCAACTGTTATGACTTCTTCATTAATTTTTCTCATCAACAAAGAAATCAAACATAGTATTTTTCTGCTACTATCTTTTTGGAAAAACACATCACTGTCCTTACCAGGATAATGCCTTCAAACTGAAAGAGGGTAGATTTAGATTGGATATTAGGAAGAAATCCTTCCCTGTGAGGGTGGTGAGGCCCTGGCACAGGTTTCCCAGAAAAGCTGTGGCTGCCCCATCCCTGGAAATGTTCAAGGCCAGGTTGGATGGGACTTGGAGCAACCTGGGATAGCGGAAGGTGTCCCTGCCCATGGCAGGGGGTTGGAACTACATGATCTTTAAGGTCTCTTCCAATCCAATCTATGATTCTATGGTGATTTAAATATTTTGAATCTTCAGTACTGTACAACAGGGGAGGGATACTGTTCTTTGGGGTAGTATGCACTGGAATTACACAGAATTGTTGCAATATTACTATTCAAGAAACCCCAATATTCTTCTCACTTTGTTCTAAGGTAACCTTGCTCTATGGTAACTACTTTTACTCATCTTAAGCCTTTGGTTTGTTTGGGTTTTTTTAACTTTGGTTTTTCTTCCAAGACACAAAGGAAACCAGAAACTTGTTTCAGAAGTTCCAGTAGAATAAGAGACAATGAAATTCCAGCGGAGTTTTTAATGAAATACAGGAAAAGCATAGCAGAGGCTTAAATCATCCACACCAACAAACATCGACTTTCCAAACACAAACAATGGTATTATTTTGTATGATATAATTTGATTTCTGCTATCAATATAATGAGTATTGAATTGTATGGGAAATGCTAATCAAATTCCTGACATTACATCATGGCAGGCTGAGCAAAAGGCAATGTTTCTGACAGCATTAGTCTCAAAGTTACAGGCACTACTTTCTTCTAACAGTCACATCTTTGCCAGCAGAACCAGAGTTCTGACAAAACTGAAAGAGTTCATGATTTCTCTGCACTTTTCATCTTTTACTGGAGAGCTGGTAAAATGGAAAGAATAAGAGCCTGCTATCTTAGCAATTATCAGGGAAACATTTGCCTTCTCTGGGGTCATGTAAGGCTTAGAGAGCTGTGAAAGTGGATTCACAGACAGATGGACTACTGGCAGGTCAGGTTGAATTTACAGATTTTTGGGGTTCTTTTTAGCAGAAAGGGAGAGATACTGACAGTATTTAAACATAGCATTCTTATATTTTGGCAAGTCTCTGAACACAGACTCAAAGTGACCTTTTTGTTTCAGTTCTTATCTAATTTTAAAAGGATACAATTGGAAGGGAGAGAAGGGAAGTACTCAGAAAATTATGTTTTCTTCCACATTAATGTAGAATGACTTTTTAAAAATCCATCTTTATTCAACTCTCAAATTAGAGTCCATCTTCAAAACAAAAAGTCTGCTAGCTGCACTAACAGACTTTTAGTTTTGCAAAACTTGCAGTGCTTTCCTTGAACAACCACAACATGAGTACTGTTTGTATCTAGATGTATTTTCCTGTGTTTCATTATCTTCATTAAAAAGTGATTTCTGAATTACGCCTTGTACAGAATCCATTCAGGAAAAAACCTCTTTGCTTTTACCTACATCCCAAAGGGTTTCTGAAGTAATTTCTGTATTGTTCAGCTCTTTTCAATGTAAGAATTGCTAACTTTTGCAGATTGTTTTGTCTGGTTTTTTACAGTCTTTAACTCATTGACTACTGGAAAATCATGGTGGTTTCAAAAAGCAAGGACAAACTATACCTGTGCCAAATGTACAGGAAAACTAAATGAATTAATAGTATAGATTTTACATTATAATGGGCACAAGACAAATTGAAAGAAATGCCTCAGACTATGTGTTATGAAATATAAAATTATTTATTCATTACTTATTAGCTGCCATCGCTGTTGCCATTGTTGTTGTTTGTATACAGAGACCATAAACCATAAAAAGAAAATTACAAAATGAGAATGAGTGACCTTGAATACAGTAAGTGGAAATACAAATAGAAAGAAAAAATCTTGTAAAATAAGAAAAAAAAAACTTTGAAAGAAATCTGGGGGATTATCACTGGCAATGAACTAGTTGTCCATGGCCAGTGTGCTACAGTTACAAAAAACAGTGCAACTGTTGTATACACACATATCGATTGTGTGTGCAACTGATTGGTGGAGAAAGGGGGCAGCATAATGAATGAAAGTGGTTTTGCTTAGGAATGCTGGAAGACTGAAATGGCCTTTTGGAGATATGGTTGATTTTGTGAGCTTTGTTAGCAATACACTGTTATAAATTTGTAAGCCTTCTCTGTTCCAGTGTCCTTAAGGAACAGAATGCCAAATAAAATGGAATCGAAATTGAGTGAATGGGAACACAATGGGATCCCAGTCCTTGGAGAGAAGACTGTATGTGTGAGGAGGAACTAAACATTTCTGCATTTTTCATTAAAAAGGAAAAAAACCAAAACATAGCACCAAGCTAACAGAACACTGCTATTGTTTTTCAATATTTCATCAGCTTAAAAAAATTACATTCAATAGGAATTCAGCTCAAAATTATTAAATATTAAAATTTTAACTAATATTTATATTTAAATTTTTGTGTAAAGCCATGCTATTATATGGAATCCTTCTTCTGCTTTTTATATGTCACAAAGGCCAAAAGAAATGTAAGCATGTTTTTCTTCTCAAAATCAACCTGACAGCTTTATGTGATGGGAGGTTTCTGCATGCTAAAAGTGAAATATATCCATACTATGTATTGATACAACAGTTAAGGCCTACAAACTGTATTGTTGCTTCCCCTCTCAGAGTAGAAAATTGCTCTCTCCCTTTGTGGATAATTGAAGGTGCCACTTCGTTACACAGCAATGATGTACAGGTGCTACAAGGATAACAACGTTTGCCTTCCTTCCTGACAAAGCAACTTTGCTGTTAGTGTGGGTTTTCTTCTGTTGGTTGCTTTTTATCAAAGCTGAACTGCCATTGCTAAAATGTCTCACAGGTCAGGTAATAAGACTTTGGATAAGTTCAGACAATAGCTTGACATTACCACCTTGACATTTTGTCCTTTGTTGTCTGCACGTAGATGAGACAAAACTCTGCTAACCTAAACCCGATCTTTCTGTATGTGCCTTCACCGTTGTCACAAAGCAACGCTGCTCCTCTTCTTTCGGTTCAGGGGTCTCTTAGCTTCTGTGTTTGTCGCTCTGGATGTTCCACTGTAGGCGTGGGTATCTCCTTGGGGTTCGCGTGTCCGAAGGTTTGGATGTGTTCACGCGTTGTGCCCCTGTGTGCCCCTGTCGGCCCGCGGATGTCTCGCCTCTCTGTGCCCGTGTGCCAGTCCGTGAGCGGCCTCTCCCCGAGCCCGCCCGGGCGGCAGCTCTGTCCCCCCGGAGCCGAGGGGGGTTTGCAGCCGGGCCGCGTCCGCCCAGCGCGCTGCGGGCACGGCTCCGCCGCCCGGTCATTTCTGTGGGGCCGGAGGTGCCTGTTCAGGTTTAGAGCGACGCCCTGGACAGCGGCGGGCGCGGGCACCTGAGCGGAGCCGCCCGTGTCCCTGAGAAAGGCTGCTGTGAGCGGGCGGGAGCCGCAGGGGAATGGCACGAAGTTTGCAGCGTCCTCTTCCTGTGTCGTGACCGTCCGTGCCCCGCGGCCCCCGGAGATGAGAGCGGGGCAGCGGCGGAGCGCTCTGCTCCGGCAGCCCCTGAGGGACCCCCGCCGGCCGGAGGGCGGGCGGGGGGGCCGGGGCGGCGGCTGAGGGCGCTAGGCCGCGGCTGCCCGGGCTCCTCGGCGGCCGCAGCGGGACACGGGGTGCGAGAGGGCAGAGGGGAGTGACGAGAGCGAGGCGTGGGTCGCTGCTGGGCTGGAGGACTGTGCGTGTGTGGCGGGGGGTCGCCGGGGCCCTGCCTCGCTAACAGCGGGGCAGCCCGGCCTGCGGGAGGGACCCCGCGGAGCCCCTTCGCTGCCCCGGGGCGACCGCCAACAGCCCGGACCTGTCGGTGTCAGGAGTGGGAGCGGCAGCTCTGCGGTCCCGCGCTGCAGCAGGTTGGGATGTCGGTCTCTATCCTTTCCTGTCACATGGCTGGTAATAGGATCCCTCATCTGCCACTCGGCACCTCGCCGGGGCGCACTTACAGGACACATGCTGTAGGGCCTCCGCTTCCCGCACTTTGCGCTCTTCCCGGCCGCCTGCCACCCCCGGAGCGCTGGGGCTGCGTCCTGCGGGCGCCGTGCGGCCCGGCGGCCGCTGCCCATGGAGCCTCCCGCCCTCGCCGCCGTCCTGGCCTTCTCGGGGCTGGCGCTGAGCTGCTGCCGCGAGCCCGTGCAGTCCGGTGAGTGACGCTTCGCGGGGAGCCGGGAGGGGGGGCGCGCTGGGGGTGCCCCCCGGTCCCCTCGCAGGGCCGGGCGGAGGGGGAGCGGGGCAGCCTCGCCCCGAGCTCCGCACGCTCGCGGCTGGCGGGCAGCCTCCCGCGGAAGGGCTCTGCCGCCCGGCAGCGCCTCTTCGAGGTCGCGACGACGTCCTTTCCTTCCCCCCCCTTGGTGGGTCCCGGGCTCGAGGCGGCTCGTGCAAACTACGCCAGGGAGTGTTTTTGTGTGGGCTTTGCGGGTGTTTGAGGCGCTCTCTGTGCTTGCTGAGCTGGGAGCTCGGAAACTGTATGGAAGCATGAGGTGAGAGAAAGAGGAGCAGCACATCTCTCTATGAAAGTGGTCTGATAGGTAGATCTGTGGAATGGAGGCATTTTCAGGGAGTGTGACTCAGTGTGTGTCAGTGGGAAATGAAAAAGCCGGTGGCAGCAGGGCATAATCGGGGCTGCAGAGCCAGAGCTTGGAGGGTGGCCGTCTCGCCTGCCTGCGGTGTCCTGTCCCAGCTCCCCGTCAAGCATGGACTTCTCTGACCATTTAGGTTCTCGTTCAGCCAGGGAGTCTGGGAAGCCTGAAACTTCACTACCCGTTAGTGTGATTTTTCACTTAAAATTTCTCTACGCGCTTTTGTCCTCATTTCATTTCTTCTAGTGACTTCAAGTACCACGGTTCTCCTCTGGTAAACAGTGGCCATTCTTTGCAAGATCTGAAGTGGCAGATGATCACGGTGTCACAGCCATCAGATGCGTGTCCGCTCTGGATACATTTTGTGTATTCTAATTACTGATCCTTCTTATTATGTAGAACTCGCTCCAGTTCTTCTTGCCATGAACACATACTTGCTCATCAAGTTTTTGTAGCTGCACTTTATCAGATTTGGAAAATACTTACATAGACTTTTTTTGGGGAATAAAAAGCCTTCTACCAGGAAGAGAACTCTTCTGAGTTTACCTTCTGGTAAACTCAGAAGTTACCTGAAGTGAGTAAAACATGAAACTACTTTTAGATAACCATTTAGAGAGCTGCCTAGACTGGGACATATCTAGACCCTGTTGAAGAGTCTGTTCCCAGTACCATCAGGATATGTTTGATGCACATAGTACATACTCCCTTCCACTGCTTAAGTTGAAGAATGTTTGCTTGTAAGGTTTCTGTGCAGAACTGTGGACAGAACACTCCATGTGTGACCATGTCCCTCACAGCAGGGTGCATGACAGCAAGTGGAGGATATATCCCAGTGTGAATGTTTGGTCATGAAGGGGGACAGAGATGCCTGAGCAGAAGCAGCTGGGGCAGGGGGAGGAGGGAAGAATATATAATGCTTCTGAATGAAGGTGTAGCAAGGGAGAGTGGATCTAGAAAGCACTGCCATCTATGTGTCTTCTGCTAAAGAACCTGGAAACAATGCAAATCTGCATTTCAGTAACAACCTGTAATTTGTATGGCACGTACAAAATCTGCAGAGTTCTTAATCTGCGCAAACTACATCAGGATCCTCTTCTTGACCCTTAATCCCACAGAACTGAAATGGGATCAGCTGTGTCAGGTTGCACTTGAAGCTAGCAGAATTACTATTGCTTTTGTAAGGCAGTTTGTCATATGGTATGTTTTTAATACGTATTCCTTTTTTTTAAAATGCATGTTTTAATAAGTTTATTGTAAAGTGCAGTCGAAATACTGACTGTGCCACCATCATTTGCTTAGAGGAAAGAAACTTTTGGAATTGCTTTATGTAAAATGACTCCAACTGTCAGAAATTAAGTCAGTTAACAATTGTTTTTGCACATAGTACTGCACTACTTTTCACAGAATGTTTTTGCTTTGCTGTGTGATGTCTAAGTTTCTCTTAACTCAAACACCTGACATTTCTGCATTCAGACACTGACATTTGTTCATTCAAACTTCAGCCATACCACATCTTTTGAGTGAATCAGAAATGAGAGGTGAGTTAATAGATTGCCTAACATTAAAGGACTGAATTTGGTGAGTTTTCTATTACAAGGACAAAGAGATGGAAATGCCTTTGGCAATTGTTAGATTTGGTGAACAAATGTTATATCGTCAGTGCAATAAGTTATAATTTCTAGTTTCTGTATTTATAGCATGCATTTAATTTTCCCATCAGAAATGTATATGATTATCAATCTCTTTTTCTTTTCTCTGTTTTCTGTCCATTTAGCAACACTGGGTTACCATGTCTTTGGTTTTCCTCCCAGCTGAGTCTTTCCTTTGAGCTGTTATTTTAGACTTCTCTAACAAACCTTGTCTCTTGTCACCTTATTCTGCCTATGTCTTGCTGATTCAGAGAAGCAGTTCTAGTTGATATGCCATGAGCAAGTGTCATGGAAATACTCGAAAAAGCAATTCTTTTGTTTCTTCTTGTTTCTAACCAGGCAGATAGAAGATTAAATAGTCAGACACTTCAGCATATCATGCTTGTACATGCATAGAGCATAACTCAAAATCCAGAGCTATGTGAATGGATTTAAGCAGGATGGAGCCAAAGAAGTGGGAGGGAGGCAGGGATTACATGCTGCCAGCTGCAAAATTTTCATTCTTTGTCATATCACACCATGAAGGTTGTACAACTGACCACTCTCTCCATCCACACAGTGGCTGTGGCCCATCCTGATAAAATTACCAAGGGGATTCAATCTGCCACACTTAACAACGGAACAACAGTTTTAAATCTTCAAAAGAAGAAAGAAAACAAACGGGTGTATTAAGGAACAGAAATTCTTATGGGGCCACATCATGCATTCTTACTTCCAATGATAAAGAATTACAAGACAAGCAAGTGTGTTTGCATCTTGTGGCTGAGGACCAGCCAGCAGCTGCAAAGCTCTAGCTAATATAGCACGTTTGTGTTGTGCAAATAGAAAGATGTACAAAATGCATACTTTGAAGCATTTAGAAATAATGGTAACTGCCTCTCGTGCACATATCCAAACTTACCTGCTTCCAACATATTCCAGAAAGGGTCTGGCCAGTCAGGTAGTGTTTAATATTATTTAAAAAAAAAAAAAAAAAGAAAAAGAAAAGTGATGAAAAAGTGATTAGATTGAAGATTAGTAATCAAAAGTTTCACAAGGATAGCAAATTCATGTATATAACAGCTCACACACTGCCAGGGAACACAAGTATGGAGCTTCACATGTCTGTACATTTCCAGGAATGTACATTCTTACAAGACAGACTTAAGGTTTGGTCAAATGTCAGGTGGCATAATTCAAATATTCACTGTGGCTACTCTCTGTCTTGGACCAACACTAAATAAGTCTCTTATTCTGACCAGCAAAAATTATTGCATTTGAGGACTTTCAACAATTATATGTCTGCGTGTGTGAATATGTAGAATGAGCAAGATACGCTTTTTAAAATACATGTAGAGTGTAAAGGAGAAATGATCAGCTAACCAAGTGCCCTCATAGCATCACATTGGAATTTAACTGTCTGATTTACCAAATGGGGAGTTGTCCAAATTGTTTTCTAGCAATTTTGAAAATAACAATTTTAAACAAAGACAATTCTTTCCTGAGGTTTTTTCTTTAGATTATACCAACTGTTGTGTTTTGGGGTTTTTTTAGTGTTACAGTAGAGATACACAAGTCTGATAGTTTCAATGAGGGCTTGTGTTATATCAGTATAAATTGGAATAGAAAAGTATTGAAATGTAAAAATACTACGCTATTTTTTCACGTGGGTAGGTCTAAACCTGCCTTATACTTCCCAAAAGCATTTATTTTGCATCATAGCATAATATGGAATATTTTTTCCCCTGACCAATCACATGATAGTATGCAAATGAACTTTTGGTTCAATCGATAAAACTGCATCTTCAAAGAAAACCATTGCAATGCTAAAAATATTTTTAATAATGACCACAGAAGCCATATTTGCGTCTTTCATCTCCTGAAGCTTCTTCTGGTTTTAATCAGTGTTCCCACATGAAGAACTGTGGCAACCTATGATAATAGAATCCCTATTTGCATCTCCAGGGAAACAAAAATGTTCTCATCTGAAGAAGGTAGTGTGGTGTCCTGCCCCTTCCATCCGTGGGCCCCTGTCTCTGTTACTGCCGGGGTATCTTGGCATCAGTTAAGTGGTTTCTGTCCTTTCCTCTGTGCGTTACTTTCTCATTGAAGTGTTTCTGCTGTCTAATTATACCCTTTCAATCAAATTAGAGACTGCAGCATCTGGTTAGTGCCTGTAACTGTTGCCATCTGCACCTAGATACAGTGCTTTCATTTAAGGAGGAGTGCTCAAATTGCACTCTCCAGCAAGAACTAGAAGAACAGTTTAGGCTGAATGGGAATGACTTAAAACTACTCTTACAACACTGTGCAACCACATGCATCAAGCAGCTGACACCAAGTCATTATTGGACTTGGCACATTTGGTTTCATATCCTTATATTGTGCTTAAGCATTTTTCTGACTGTTCCAAAAGGCTGTAAGAAAAATGAGAGAGAACCGAGCAGGCAGTTAGTTACAGCATGTAAATTCAATGAACCTTTACTTTTTGGTCCAACCTTGCAGAGCATTTAATGTTCTGGCTATCACACCACTAATAAAACCCAAGATTTAAATAGCAGCCACTTTCATTTATCTTTCATTACTCTGCAGATTTTTAAAAGAAAACCTTGCTTTTGGGCAGTAGCTGGTAGGATAATTTCTGGCTTGGGCAGGCTAGTTTCTGTTTGATAATTGTCAATCTGTCTGGCTACTAGTCAGCACTCCATGTAGCTTCCAGAATGTAAAGCAAACAAAGCAAATTAAGGTGTTGTTTTTTTTTTTCTCTCCAGTGGAATAGGAATAAGTTTGTCATTCTGAGTGTTCAGTCTCAAAAGCTACGTTCAGGCCTCAAACTTGCAAAGTACTCTAAGAAATCATTTAAACCATCCTGGAATCTCCATCTCTTCAGTCTGCAATTTGTAATGTCACTAAATATATGTCTTTGAGAATGCAGA